AACACTGGACACAACCTAAGGAATGTTCTTTTACACAAGCCCCATTGTAATGTATAGGAACCACACATCAAGTGAGCACCAATCTGTTCCCATTCCTGCACTGCTCCCATTCATATTCCTTGTTTGCATGGAAGAACATCTTACTGAATGTTCCCTTCCATCACAAGTCAAAGAAATAGCATTGCAAAAGGTCTCCCGCTGTCTCCCTCTAAAATTGAATGACAGAGACGGGTGGGAATGGCTTTATATATGTATAAAGAATTCAGAGGAATTGAGATATGATCTTGGGAAGAACTCTCTCTCTAATTGCATTAGGTTCTCTCATTTAATTTGCTAAGAAATTCAAAGGATTACATATTGGTCACTTCAAATGCTGGGATTTGCTATTCTTGCCAGAGGAAGATAACATGAAGGTGTTCGGAGAAGACTCCCAAACTGTTAGACTGAAGCTTAAATTCCATAAATATAAATCATGCCAGTCCACATAGAAGGGTTGGGGAGGGAGGGTGACACAGCAGCCAAAGCATGTGAGCGTTGTGAATTAATGGACTAAATTGGCAAGATAATATAAGAGCTTTAGTTAATTTGGTTCACATCAGAGTGAGCTATCCTGCTGGAAGAGACCTTGAGAATGCGACATGAAATATGACAAGCGAAAGGAGCTTTTGCCAAGGACGCAACTGGCAACCCACATGCCCAGCTTTCTCTTCATGAAATAATCCTAGAAATATAAGGGTTTCACTTGGACCAGGTTTAAAGGTTAAACCTTTTCTTTTCTCCCTTTTCTTTCAAAAAAAGAGTAAATTTAAATGACGTGCTATTATACACAGTGCCATGATTGCATGAAGGGAAGTGCCTACAGCTAACAGGCAGAGTGGGGGTGGAAAGAGATGCAAAAGCACCTTTCCTTTTGTAGAAATTGTAACCACTTCACCCTACAGCAGAGATGATGTTCCTCTTCACGCAAGTGTTTAACTCCATGTACTGGAGCCCAAAGACAAGCCCACGGCTGCATGGAACCCTGGGTAATGTCTGAACTGGCCCCAAGCTGCCATTTTTAAAATTAGCAGGAACCATTATTATATCCGAAATAAGAGCAAAGCAACAAATGGCCATGTTGTCCTGATTTTTTTCCTTGGGGATGAAAGAGGAATGTAGTTGCGTGCTTCTCCTATTCCAAATATCCCTGGAAAAGAGATACAAACTCATGATGGCATGTTTGAGGACAGCATACCCAAGGTTCAGTTGTGTCGATAGGGTACCTGGCAGGCTGTCCATCTAGCTCAGTATTGTTGACAACTAACAGTGGCTCTCAAGGTTTCAGATGAGTCTTTTCCCAGCCTCACCTGGAAATACTGGAGACTGAACCTGGGACTTTTTGCATGCAAAGCATGAGCTCTGCTACTAAGATATGGCCTCTCTCCACTGGAAAAATGCCTTCCAGCTCTTTAGTGAACGAATATTTAGCATCGCATGAAGCTGTGAATTGCATTTGTGTGGAGTGGTTTGAGAAAGAACTATTGTAGCTCAACTTGTGGGCAAGAATCTGATTCTGCAGTGTTCTATGCCCTTTATACTTTAATTTTCAAAAAGGACAAAATGGGAGTTTGGTATCTATATATGTGTTTCCCGTCATTTGCATAGATTCGGCTGGATTATCAGGCAAATTCATGCAAATCAGCATTAGTCAAACACCCATTAAAGTTGACCTCATTCGAAAATGTTGGGCAGTGCGCCCTACATTGCAAAACAAACATGCTTATTTCCACCAGGCCTCCTTGACAGGAGAAAGCTGTTTTGTTTCTAGAGCTAGAATAAAAAACTGCCTGAAGCAGCTTGCTGTATGGGGCAGAGTTGCCATGCTAACTTCTTGGAAGGGGGAAGGAGTGGTCATTGCTGCTTACTGGAAGAAAGAGGAGAGAAGGAGGAGGAGGAGGAGGAGGAGGAGGAGGAGGAGGAGGAGTTTGGACTTGATATCCTGCCTTTCACTCCCCTTAAGGAGTCTCAAAGCACCTAACAATCTCCTTTCCCTTCCTCCCCCACAACAAACACTCTGTGAGGTGAGTGGGGCTGAGAGACTTCAGAGAAGCGTGACTAGCCCAAGGTCACCCAGCAGCTGCATGTGGAGGAGCGGGGAAGCGAACCTGGTTCACCAGATTACGAGTCCACCACTCTTAACCATTACACCATGGGAAGGTGCAATGGCAGGCAGCACTGAATTAGCTCCATGGATGCATTTGCACCACACTTGCTTCCCTGCTGCTTTGTCCCTCCCTCTCTAAGTATCCAATAGTGTGTCCCCCTCCCATGAACCTAGTATAGTGGTTCCACTCAATCTGGACAGCCACTTCTGTAAACAATTCCTCTAAAAAGCCACTGGGGGGCATTTGGGACAAGTTCAAGATCCAGAACACATTTGCACAAGTTCATGGAGCAATGCTAGCACTTCTTCTTTGGCGATCACTTGTAGCCGAGTAAGATTGTCTTCCATAAACACGGTTTTAACAATGAGTCCGTAAGTGACTGTGGAAGCCAATTCTTGATCCACATGTCCTTCCACAGTGGGTTTCCGGGCGGGAGTTGTTCACAGTGAGGGTTTGCCAAGCGTGCCTTCCTCTTAGCACCTTTCTCTCTTTCATCCTGAGTTTGAGCATCTTCAAAGCCCACGACACCTTTGGTAAAGGCTGTTCGCCAAATGGAGCACTCACAGACCAGTGTTCCCTAATTGTCAGTATTTATACTACATTTGCCTTGAGAGCGTCTTTAAACCACTTTTGTAGACCACCAGCATTATGCTTTCCTTTTTTAAGTTTGGAATAGAATAGTTGCTTTGGAAGACAATAATTGGGCATCTGGACAACACGACCAGTCCAACGAAGTTGATGTTGAACAATCATTGCTTTGACACTGGTGATCTTTGCTTCTGCCAGTACAGTGGCATTAGTTAGCTTGTCTTCCCAAGGGATATGTAAAACCTTTCAGAGATACCATTGATGGAATCTTTCGAGGTGTTGGAGATCTCCAAAGCTAGTACAGTGGTACCTCGAGTTAAGTACTTAATTCGTTCCAGAGGTCTGTACTTAACCTGAAACTGTTCTTAACCTGAAGCACCACTTTAGCTAATGGTGCCTCCTGCTGCCGCCTCGCTGCCGGAGCCCGATTTCTGTTCTCATCCTGAAGCAAAGTTCTTAACCTGAAGCACTATTTCTGGGTTAGCGGAGTCTGTAACCTGAAGCATATGTAACCTGAAGTGTATGTAACCCGAGGTACCACTGTAATAAACCCCTGAGGGGCCAAAATCAGCCCATTTCACTGCCTGTTAAGTTGGTCATGGAATCAATTTCTGCAGCCCATTTCATGCTAGCCTTAGTCAATCTAGTTATGTATGTTCTTGCGTGAATAATATCACAGTGGGTACTGGACCTCAGTTAACCTTTCTGTTCAGTTCAGTGTTATTTTTGAAATGCACCAACAATGAACTCATTTGAATGAATGGAAATGTATTAATTTATTTGAATTAATTCATTTGAATTAATGGAAATTAATGGAAATTGCATTACAACAGGCTATTACTTATATAAGCCCATTGTCTGATTTGCTTTCAAGGCAGCTATGGCAATGGAGGCTGCCATCTTTGCTGCAGGGAAACAGTAAAGCTGGTTATTTCCAAGGCTCAGTTGCTAGAGATTTTGCTCCACTGCAGGCTATGGGACCTGAGTAAACATGCATAAGTATGTGCTGTAAGTCCAGGCAGCACAGCAGGAGATAGAAAAGAGCAATGTACACATGCAGACACGAAGAGACATCAGCATGAATTTGACCTGACAAGAATGCAGTGCTTCCCCGCCACAAACAAAAAGAAACCCTGGTGTGTGCTCACAGGTTCAGACGGCCGTCCTAGTATATAAAGGATACTCAAGTGCTGTGAGTCAGCAGAGGCCTAGCTGATCACCATCTGGCTTGGTGACAAACTTCTGGAAGGATTTCTGCAGAGGACATGTTCATATTCAGGCAGCTCGAATGCTACCTTTTCCTTGGCCATGTCCCAGATGCCACATCCTCTATTGTAATCACAATCTTCCTTCTTCAGGAAGCACCTTAATACACGGAGCAGGGGGTAAGCATTGCAGGTACACAAAAACAGATGCTGCCGTCTTCTATGGCTGTTTTCATAGCAAATTGCTTGGGCAGCAGCCTTGTCCTCTCTGTAGGAAAGAGCTTCTGGGGGAGGCTGAGGTCACTTGGCATGAAAGCAGAACAAGAGCCATGATTTGAACTTGTGCTGAGTTTCTCTCCTGGTGCAACAAAGGGGATGAGGAAAAAAAGCGAATGTTGGGCGCTTCTCTCTCAAAAGGGCATGATCAAAACACTCTCCTTGGAAGGTAAAGGGGAATACTGATGATTACAGGCATTTGAGAAAAGTTGAAGAGGAATTTAAATGTATGTACAGTGGTACCTCGGGTTAAGTACTTAATTAGTTCCAGAGGTCCATACTTAACCTGAAACTGTTCTTAACCTGAAGCACCACTTTAGCTAATGGGGCCTCCTGCTGCCGCTGTGCCGCCGGAGCACGATTTCTGTTCTCATCCTGAAGCAAAGTTCTTAACCTGAAGCACTATTTCTAGGTTAGCCTGTAACCTGAAGCGTATGTAACCTGAAGCGTATGTAACCTGAGGTACCACTGTATTTGGGAGGGGGGCTTTTTGCCTTGTGACCACTAGCAGAATTGGGGAGGAATGGGCAGATATATAAATTTCAGGACCTCTCAGTTCCTCATTTTTCCATTCTTAGGTTCTGTTCGCTACTATTCTCCATAATTTTGTGATTTTTTTTTAAGAAAATGAAAATTTGTCAGCATTTTAATGTACATTTCTCCTAACATACACCTTTTTGCAAGCAATTCCCCCTCCCACAAAGCACTTTTGTATGTTACTTTCGCAAATACGTCCCTCAAGACACATGCTTTCTTCTTATGCAGGCATCCCCAAACTCGGCCCTCCAGCTGCTCTGGGACTACAACTCCCATCACACCTAGCTAACAGGACCAGTGGTCAGGGATGATGGGAACTGTAGTCCCAAAACAGCTGGAGGGCCAAGTTTGGGGATGCCTGTTCTTATGTGTATTTTTGTACACATTACAGTGGTACCTCGGGTTACATACGTTTCAGGTTACATATGCTTCAGGTTACAGACTCCGCTAACCCAGAAATAGTCCCTCGGATTAAGAACTTTGCTTCAGGATGAGAACAGAAATTGTGCTCTGGCGGTGCGGCGGCAGCAGGAGGCCCCATTAGCTAAAGTGGTGCTTCAGGTTAAGAACAGTTTCAGGTTAAGAACGGAACGAATTAAGTACTTAACCCGAGGTACCACAGTACTTGGTTGGAGAACTGCATCGAGAACTTCGGAAAGAATGGTAAAGAAAGTACAAGCAACAACCAGTTTGTGTGTGGATTACATTCTGGATCCCCGCACATGTTGGCGCGGCCCGTGTAAGGCCACCCCCCACATATCTGACGTGCCTAAAGGCTGCCTGTATAACACATGAAATTATTGTCTTAGTCTTCCATCCAGTGATCCATAAAGGCAAATTGATAAGAGAGCCAGTGTGGTGTAGTGGTTAAGAGCGGTAGTCTCGTAATCTGGTGAACCGGGTTCGTGTCTCTGCTCCTCCACATGCAGCTGCTGGGTGACCTTGGGCTAGTCACACTTCTTTGAAGTCTCTCGGCCCCACTCACCTCACAGAATGTTTGTTGTGAGGGAGGAAGGGAAAGGAGAATGTTAGCAGCTTTGAGACTCCTTCAGGTAGTGATAAAGTGGGATATCAAATCCAAACTCCTCCTCCTCCTCTTCTTCTTCCTTAGTCTCAGTGCTGCCCCTTGTAAAAGCTGGAAGGGAGGCAGATGGGGACAATTCTAGAGTGAGCTCTATCTGTCATTGGCTCTACCTACTGTTGGCCTCCCTGCCTGTCACCTGGCCTGTCACAATGGGCAACGGCAACCAGAGCCTCCACCTGTGAATGGTGCTCTATTGTGGTCCATTCCTTGGAGCTGAGGGAGGGACCGACAGCCTCCTGACTGCAGGAAACACTGCACGACTGGATCCGACTTTGACACTTGCCACACAGGAAGAGCGAGAGTTTGCAAAACCAAATGGAAACTCTGAAACTCTTCTTCTTTTCCCTTATTGGGAAATGTGCGTTGGCAGGGGGTGTATTTACCAGATGCTTGCTTTAAAAAATAAGCAATGCCTCGCTTGCCACCTTGGGCCTTACCATTATATAAAGAAGAAGAATTAGAATGCAATGAAACAAATGTTTAAGTGGACAAAAAAAGCTGTGCTTGGCAAACAACCCCCCCAAAAAAACCTTGTAGACAGTTCCCAAGGAAATATATGTGTAAACAAGTGTTATTTCTGAATTCTTTAAAATTACCTGGAATGGAGACAGCAATAATGATAATAATACTAATAAGCAGCTGAACAAACAGCAGGGTGCCAAATCTACAGCCTCCAACTTGATGTTCAAAGCCTGCCCCTAGCAGAACAAGCTACAGAATGCTCTAAGCTTCCGTGGTGGGCCTTGAAGCACTCTCAGAGGTCCAGAGAGCTCCAAGCCACTTCCACCTTTGTGGTCTTAGTGAAAAATAAGGACAAACAAAAACAAAATAAGGTACAGAAGAAAGGAGGGAGGAAAGGAGAGAGAGAGAGAGAGAGAGAGAGAGAGAGAGAGAGAGAGAGAGAGAGAGATTTTATTTGGCATGGTAGGACACAATCACCACAGTCTAATCTTGTGCCAGCACAATAAATGTAGTTTTATTAATATTTATGAACGTTTTAAACTCTTTAATAGGATAGAATCTGTAGGAATTAGCAGCATGTTTCTTTTAAATCAAATCACACCTCTTACCTGTCCCTTTAGGCATCCCTTTTTAGTCTATGCTCATGATTATTTGTGTTCATAATGCTATATTGAGGCTGCTTTATTGCCCATCAGTGCATATCACATAACTTTCTGCTGGAATACTGCAACTCTTATACCACAGTTGTTCCACTTCAATTGCGCTATAGCCCCTCCAGACAGCTGAAATATACTCAAAGTCGCAAAGTGGTTTCATGCTCTTTATTCAGCTCATAGTGGTGAGGAGGAATGAATGAAAGTCCCCTCAAAGTATCTGCTTTATATACATTATTTACACAATGGGCTGCACATGATTGGCTAATTCTGGAATTCTACTGTAAGCCAATCAGGTTGTGGGTTCACTTACATCTGGAGCATGATTGGGTGGTTCCTGCCAACCAATCATACTGCTGCATTGTTCTAGGACCAATCAGACTGCTGCATTCTGAATCCTACTGTTCTAGGACCAATCAGACGGCTGCAGTTTGGATCCTATTGTTCTAGGACCAATCAGACTGCTGCAGTTTGGATCCTATTCAACTCAGTATATAACACAGCTATAATGTAGGAGCATTGTAGAACAAACCGAAATGGACTAAATCACCAGTAATGCACTATTATTGTGGCTACTTTCACATGATGCATTTATTCTGGGAACTGATTAACATACTATGTCCATCAGCCAAAGGCCTGATTATACTGAAACATTTCCACCTAGCCCCTAAGGAAGACGCCAAGCGAGCCTTCCTGGGGAGAGCGTTCCACAAACAGGGAACCACTGCAGAAAAGGCCCAGTTTTGTGTTGCTATCAGGGAGGAGGCACCTGAAGAAGGGCCTCAGATGGTGATCACAGGGTCTGGATCTGTTCACATGGGAGAGGCAGTCCTTGAGGTATTGCTGTCCTGAGCCATTTAAGGCTTTATGGGTCAAAACCTGCCCAGAAACTATTTGGCAGCTGGTGCAGTCAGGCCAGTATTGGTGTAATATGCTCAAACCACCTTGTCCCAGTGGGCAACCTGGCCACCAAATTCTGCAGCAGCTGAACTTTCAGCTATCCAGATATAATGCATTGCAGTAATCTAACCTAGAGGTTACCAGAACATAGATGACAGAAAATATGCTGTTTCTTATACGGGTGCAGCTGGGCCACCAACCAAAGCTGGTTGCTCTTGACATTTTTCAGGAAAAGAGAGTTACTTCTGCAATGATAAACAAGCTGGTTTCAGTGCTTTTCGATTATGTCTACCGCCATAAAAAGGCCAAAAAATGAAAGAGCGATTCAATGGAATATAATCAGTCCCTTTAAAAATACCTTGGTAGCTCTGCACAGCCATTCTCAGTTAATGCATGCGTCTGAGTTTCCAAGGATTACATTCTCAGCTCAGTGGAGCAGCCTTTAAAAAGTCGTTCCAGTTGCCATTGTAACAAATCAGAAGTGTTTTCAAAATTGTGATGAGCAAACGGAGAATGTGCCACCAGGGTAAACAAGGGGACTTTTTGATTAATAGGAAAGTGGTCCTGCAGCTACACATCGCAATGCATAAAGCTGATTTAGATGAGGCTGCTGCCACTCTGCCATGTATTATTAGTCAGCCACTGACGCTGGACTTCCCCCACTCCTTCCTTTTCTCTGTTTCTGCCATTTACACAGCTGGCTAACTAAAGCGATACTCAGCTCCTGGAAGCACGATTTAGCCCTAAAACTGAAACGCAAGAAAGAGGTTCTACATTCTCATTGGCAGGAAGGGTCTACCACAGGCAGAAGTGGGTAACCTGTGGCACTTTGCCTGATTTCTGTTGACTTTTTGCAGTATGGTAGCGCTGCAGAGAGCTTGCTGGGGAGACCATGCATTAAAAAGGGACTCAAAAATAACTTAAACAAGGTTTTAATAAGAAAAACAAAAACTCGTTTTACACTAAATACATTAACAAACAAACATGACCCAACCACCAACCCATCCCCCAGGGTAATGGGAGAGCTAGGTGCTGCTCCTTATATACTACACCCAATTACCAACACAGCTTAATCAATACAACTCAGCAGCACCTGCTATGTTTCACAGCTGTAAAGCTGGGTCTCGTTATTTTGCTCTGGCCCTTTCTCTGGCCCCTTAAAGACATACACATCGAGTGGAACAATGATGAACCTTTACATATTAAACCATTCAACATTTCCCTGCGGTTCATCATTGTGGAACAAAAACATAAAGCATACTTTGTACATGTTTTTCATGTATACCTTTTGGAAGTGCTTTAGTAAAAATGTCTGCAATTTGATTGTCACCTGGAACATATTTAAATACAACCATTTCATCAGCAATTAGTTTCTTTACAAACTGTAAACGTAATCTTAAGACTTTAGTGCGCTGCGTATTGGTTTCTGAACATAGGATAGCGAGTCCACTCTGGGAATCAAGGTAAACTTTTACTGGTAGTGTTACTTGCATCTGTAGGTCTGCGAATACTTGCAGATACCATTCCACATCACGAGTGGCCTGAACACATGCACATAATTCACTCTCTGTTGTGGAGAGACAAATAATGGTTTGTGTCTGGGACTTCCATTCAAATGGACAACCATTATAACAAAACACCATACCAGACACACCCCTGCAATTATTTTGTTCCACTGCATGAGATGCATCACAGAAAATTTCAAAACCTTTGTCAATACATGTTGTAAACTGCAACCTATAATGTTTGGTATGTTTAAGGTACATTACCACTCTCTTAAGAGCAGAGAAACATTGTGTAGTGGGCTTTTCCACAAATTTTGCCAGAAAGTGAAAGGCATAAGTTATATCTGGTCTTGAGATTCTTTGAATGAAATTTAGCTTGCCTATAGCAGAACGATACAAAGTTTTGTTAGGAAATGGCTTATCTTCACCTGTAAAAGTGAAACCACACACCATGGGCGTTTCCTTCCCATTTGCATTTTCTAAACATAGCATTTCAACAAGATCGTCAATTTTTGCAGTTTGATGAACCAGAAAAGATCCATTTTTGCCTTTCTCAATTTGCATGGATAAGTAATTTTTAGCTATGCCTAATTCCACCACATCAAATTTCTTCTGTAACTGTGTTACTACCTGTTCATATTCCTGTTTAGTTTTTGTAGAAATTAACACGTCATCTACATAGACACATATTTTTGCTACAGAGTTTGCCCTTTCCTTTATAAACACACAATT